TACATCATGGGTTCTCCTGAATTAGTCTTCAAGGCAAACAATGTGTTCTGTATTTATTAATACTCTAGCTCAATTTGTTTCACAAGCTAAAATATTTATACTGATATACTGATTTATATCATGAAATACTAAAAGGCATCTGGTATAAAAACATGAAAAGTTATCGTGATTTTTTTCATACTAGAAAATATTATTTAAGATTAATGCAAGCTTTTCATAATCACATTTAAATTACCATTTCTCATTTGAAAATGTAAAATTATTCAAAAGGAACTAAATAGCAGTATGAACTTACAGAAGGAGCTACTATATAAAAGTTGAAGAGATGGCTCAGTGGGTAAAGTGTCTATAGGTCAGACATGAGGAATTGATTTTGGATCACCAGCATCCATGTAAAAAGGTAAGCAACCCTGAAAGGTGGAATAAGGCCAAGCTCTGGAGTTTATCAGTCAGCCAGGCTAGCTAAAACAGTGAGTGCCAGGTTCAATGAGATACCCTGTTTCAAAAAACAAGGAGAATGATTATGATAGCTTATGATAGTCAACACAATCTAAAATCACCTAGCAAAAGAGTCTCAGTAGAGATTGTCTAGATAAGAATGATCTGCCAGCATATCTGTGGGTGATTATCTTAATTATATTAATTGATGTGGGAAGACCACAACAGGTAACACTATTCCCTGAGCAGGGGAACGTCAACTGTGTAAGTCTGAGTACTAGCATGTATGCATTAATTTACTGCTCTTTGTTCTTACCTGTGGATGTAATATGACCAGTTCTCTCAAGTTTCTGTCATTGTGAATTGCTATTATGATGGACTATAACCTGGAACTGTGTGTTAAAATGAACCTTTACTCCCCTAACTTGCTTTTGTCAGAGTATTTTAGTACAGCAATAAGTAACAAAATAGGTACATAGACTGAGGAAGACAAATGCATGCACACACCTACACAAATATGTGCACGACAAACACACACACACAAAAAAGCAGACCCACCATTTAAAATATTGCGTTAAGAATTTCATATATTGTATTTTGATCATATTCACTCCCAACTCCTCCCAGATCAACTCCCAGTACCATCCAATTTAAACCCACCCCACCCCTTCTTATAAAATAATTCACTCACTCCCATTTGAGCTGCCAATATACTCGGGTGTGGAACCATCCACTAGATCATGGTCAACCTATTGGCCATACTCTTAAAAGAAAACTGACTCTCCCTCCCCTAGAAGTCATCAACTGTCCATAGCTGCTCAGTTAGGGATGGGGGCTCATGAACTCCTTTCCATTCCATGCTAGAATGCTGAGTGGCTGGATCTAGCGTAGGTCTTGTGCATGCAACCACAGCTGCTGAGTAAGCGCAGCAGCCCTGTCCCATCAGAAGACAGTTTCACTCCAGTCATCCCCAACCTCTGGCTCTTAGAATCTTTCCTCCCCCTATTCTATGATGGTACCTGAGTCTTACAGAAAGGATCACATACAGATACATAGATGTCCTATTTGTGGCTGAGCACTCAACTGACACTTATTCTCTGAATTAAGCTAAGAGGATATATATATTCTTTGAGAATTTGCCATATATCTTTTTGAGACAGGGTCTCCCTGTTGCCACAGCTGGCCTAGAATTCACTATATAGACTGTGCTCAATTTCACAGAAACCTGCCTGTCTCTGTCTCCCAAGTGCCGAGATTAAAGGTGTGCACAACCACATCTGCTTCATACAATATATTTTGATCATATTCACCCAAACCCCTCCCCTTAACTCCTCCCAGATCCATTCTCACCTCCCTAAAACCAAAATATCTTTTTTTTTTATACTTAATATTCCATTGAATCCACTTTGCACTGTCCATAAATTGCTGTGCATGGAGCCATCCGATAGAGCATGGTCTACCTCAGAAAATGAGAAATAAATCCAATATAGGACTTAACTCTATCACTCCTGGGCATACACCCAAAGGACTCTATTTCTTACTACAGAGACATAAGCTCATCCATGGTCCTACCTGCTCTACTTGCAATAGCTAGGGCACAGAAACAGCCTAGATGTCCATCAACTTATGATGAATAAATAATGAAAATGTGGTACATGAAGAAATCAATGAATTTTAGGGAGCGCTAAAGAAAAATGAAATTATGAAATTTGCAGGAGCTGGAAAACATTATATGGAATGAGTAACCTAGACCCAGGAAAAACAAACATCAATGTTCTCACTCATGTGTGGATCTTAGTGCCAAATACCTGCAAAATCCCAGAAACTAGAAAATGGAGAGGGAGGTTTAAATGGGGACAGAAATGGGAGGGTAGAGGAAAGGAAGGGGTTAGGGACAGGATAACTAACTCTAAGGATGTCTGAAATTTCAAGTCTGATGGAAACTACTATTTTATAAGCTTCAGAGTTATATGAAGCAGTCTACTGAAGTTAGCCTAATAGGGAATTGTGATCATTCTATAAGCCATACGTTGCCAAATAAAAACTCCTTGTGCCAGGTGTGGGATACCTCCCCTCCACTTTTTTGGAAAGAGGTATCCTCTAAAACAATACAGGTTTTTGACACTGCTCTTGGTGGCCACCAGAACTTGATGGTAAGAACCTTTGTTGAAGACCCCATAACACACTGGTCACAAGACATGGAGGAATCAAGTCAGTACTGACCAAGAAGCTTCCTCCCTGCTGGCTAGCTTTCATAGTACTAGAAAGTGCTACACGGGCTGCTGGAAAAAGAAAACCACCAACAGTCTTTACCCAGCTGTGAACCCTGTGCAATAATAACCAGCATGGCAAGTTAGTTATGCTCATGTGTGCAATAGTGGCACAAGTTTTATGGGGATAACCAATCACTTTCTGAATTTAAGTTTCTTTTTCTGGTCTTTTTGAAACAGGGTCTCCCTGTAGCCCCAGCAGGCCTTGGCCTTGAACTCAGAGAACGACCTGCCTCTGCCTCCCAAGTGCTGGGACTACAGGCATGTGCCACCACGGCTTATTTAAGTTCCATTTTTAAAGTGGAAATATTACTACTGCTTTATGTTGTGTTATTGACCTGTTTCTATAGCATAGAATTTTTATTAAAATAGTTGCTAATTATGCATATGCTTTTTACAGAATCATAATAAAGCCAGCTATACATGCTAGTTATTACATGTTTTTAATCCCAGCACTTAAGGAGCTGAGGCAGGAAGATCACTGAAAATTCAAGGCCAGCCTAGGCTACAAAGTAAATGCAATGCTGAACTAGACTACAGAGCAGGACCTTGTCTCAGGAAAAAAAGAAAAAGAAATAAAAACTAGTAAACTAAACATTAAAATTATAAATGTCTGTTCTTCAAAAGATACTTTCAGTAAAATTAAGAACAAAATAAGTCATAGACTGAGAGAAGATATTTGTGTAAGGCATACCTGAAAAACACGTTAAAATTGTGACAGAACTCTTAAAATTCAACAATGAAAGAAACAACCAATCAAAATTGGCAAAAATGCTCCAAGACACCTCAGCAAAGATGATGTATGGCAAATAAACATATTAAAGCATTATACGAATATATATTTACATATGTATAAATATATATACACTGCAAATTAAAGCAATGAGATATGACTACATTTTTATAACAGCTAAAATTCCAAACACTGACACCACCAAATGGTAAGGAGAAGATGGAATAAGAACTCTCATTAATTTTTGGTGAAACTACAAAATGATACAGACATGATGGAAAACAGGTTTTAGTTTATCAAGTTAGGCATACTCTTACCATAGAAAGTAACAATTACATTCTTTGATAATTATCCAAGTGAGTTGATATTTTTCATCGATACAAAAACCTTCACAAATGTTTCTGCACTTAACTCAAAAAACAACAAAATTTGGAGCTAGTCAAAATGCCCTCCAAAAAGTTACTATATAAACAAACTTTGGTATATTTACACAATTGGACAGAACTACTAAAGACACAGAAGAGCCAGTATGAGTAGATGAAAAGAGTAGATCTAAAAAAGTAAAATGCTTGATTTCAATTACATGATGTTCTAGAAAAAAACAAAAATATGATGACAGTAAAATGATCAGGTGACAGGACTGGAGAGATGGTTGAACAGTCAAGAGCATAGGATGCTCTTGAGAGGACCCAGCTTCAGTTCCCTGCACACATATAGCAGCTAACAATCATCCATAACTCCAGTTCCATGGGATTCTACTGAACCCACAGGCATTGCACTCCACAGGTACACTTACACACATCCAAACAATACACACACATATAAAAATAAAAAATAATAAATAAAATATTTTTTAAAAAATTTTAAATGACCAATTGCCAGGAACTCTGGAAAAAACCAAGGAACAGAAAGAATAGGCAGAGCAGAGGATTTTTAAGGCAGTGAAGCTGTTCTATGTGATACTATAAAAAGATACACATTATTGTACAATTGTCAGACCCATTCAATGTACCACAGAGTTAACCTTAAGCTAAGGACTTTGGTGCCTGAAGATGAATACATATTGGCTCATTGATTGCAATAATCATACCACTCTGAAGGGAGAGCCTGATGAGAAAATTGAGTACACTGTACTCTCCATTCAATTTTACTGTGAACCTCAAATTGCTCTTAAAACAACAAAATTTCCCCAAATTATTGTAATCAATTAAATAAGACAAGTTTTTCACAATATAAAATCCAGACCTGGTACAGGCAGCTTAATATGTATATGTAATGTGATGTTCTTTTGCCCATAGAACCAGATATATTCACATTTTCTTTAAGACATGTCAGGTTTCTTCAAAAGTACCCTTCTATAAAAGTTTATGGTATTTTTATGAGAAATTAAACAAGCTTCCCAGAGTGAGTATTAGCTCTTATTGTTAAAATCTTATGTTTTACAATAACGACAGGACTTTTACAATTTTAGCTTCAAAAGATTATGTTACCAATGCCAATAAAATCTCTTCTACAAAGCAAATGAAATTCAGGCATATGAGTTAACTACAGGATTTTACCTTATTAATTTCTTCACTCAGTCTCTATACAGCTTCCTTTTCCAGTATATGAAAAAGTCATGTTTAATGGCCTCCCACTACAAGAAATAAAGAAGTTTTGGTACTACATTAAAACACTAAGTAATTAACTTAGACATTTGTTTTCAAAAAACAAAATTTAAACTCAGGATATTTTACTACTTGCTTCTAAAGAGCACAGAAAGACACCAAACTTTTCAGATGACAGAGTGAAGACCCTCATTGGACCAGTTTTAATTCCTGTAATAGAAAAATAAAAGCTAAAATATCAAAAATAAAACACCTCATTGTCAAGAAAACAGAGACACAGACACCATCACAAACATCTTTTAATTTGCCAAATGATGTTATCTAGAATGAAAATGAGAAGCAAGCCAGTCAGAACCCCTCCCCAGAACCCAGATCACAAGTACGATAGAGCTCCCTAACAGTGAACGTTTATTAGAGAAAGCTGACTGAAGTCACATTTTACCCACCTGGGGAAATATTTCTTCAGAAAACATGCTGACACCACCAAAGGACAGAGGAAAACCCAGTAAGATCTAACTGGAAATGACCTGGCTTCTTAATTCAGAAGAATTAAGGGGGGTAAAAGAGAGAGGAAGCATCCTTCACGAGACCAGTCTGAAACACAGACTTAACTGATACACAGGTCTGAAAGCTACAGTGACATTCACAACCAGGCAAATGAAGTCAGATATGCCCAACCCTACAAAAATATCTTTGGTAAGGAAGTGTTCGAAATAACAATCCCTGTCTACCCCTTCTCACCATTACTCAAGAGATGGATCTGATCTGACACTTTTTTCAGGTAGTAATCTCTTAATGGAAGTGAACCCATTCCTAAATGACATAAAACTCAGAAAGCAGTCTACAAAAAAAAAAAAAAAAAAAAAAAAAACTGGTACAGAACTACCAAGGATGGGAGAGATATAAGGAAATGGTAAATAAACAAATGGTCTCAGGAAACAGAACAACTTATAGAAACAACTTTCCAGTCTGAAAGAAATTATAGAGAAACTGCACAGAAAAGGAATAAAAAGGCTCAAAGAAAATTATTAAATATCTAAGAAAGGATAAAAAAACAAAAAGGAGGTGAAGAAGTAAATTAGGAGACTAAAGAGGGAAAAGCTGGAGACTGAAGTAAGAAACAAAACACAAAAGCCATGTATGAGGCAAGAACAGTAAGAGCAACCAACAGAAACTAAGTAGACCCTAGGAAATGGACAGTCAGGAAAGAAGGGAACAACAAGAAAAAATACAAAGTAAAATGGAAAATAAGATGCACAAGAGATAATACACACAGAAGATAAAAGACACATAGCTAATACATTCTTGACATTTTTCCATCTGAAAACTGAATCCAGAGCCTTGAACATGCTAAACACATGTTCAATCCAGCAACAGTCTTCACCATACTTGATGTTCTTGCATAAGAAAACAGAATAGCCCACTTCCATGGTGCACACCTTTAATCCCAGCAGTCAGAAGGCAGAAGCAGGTGCATCTTTGTGAGATTAAGGCCAGCCTAGACTACATAGCAAGTTCCAGGCCAGCTGGAGCTACAGGGAGACCTTTGTCCCTGAATGTGTAGATCTTTATAGAAAGAAACCAAATCCACCAAATTCACGAACATGTTTTAATACCACTTCCCAGTAAGGAGAACGTAAAAGGTAATTATATTTTAACAGGTGAAAATTAAGAAGAAAATTAAGAGAACCTAGAGGTACTCCCAAAGAAACTAGGTTACTCCTTTTCTCCTCTTCCAAAACTAAGATTGCAATCAGTGGCTGACACCAAGAACACTCAAAGTGGTATGTTCAACAACCTACTGAATGACCCTCATAAGAGACTATTGGACTTCTATTTTTGTGAAGCCAAGTTTATTTTGTCCTGACTCTTTTTAGAGTGATAAGGTATTCTGAGTTTTGCTACCAAGGCACAAAAAAATCCATTAACCTTTTTTTTTTAATTGTTTATTATAACCATATAATTAGAATAAGCATTTCAGTACAACTGCATTGAAATATTCAAAAACAATTTCTGGAGCTAAGATGCATCTCTTTCAAAATTGGTTGTAAATTTTTAGGTGTACAGTTGAATTGATACAGTTATACAATATTGTACTCTGTATAACCCCTGTAAGACATAAAATTAAATGAGATTTTAAACTTTAAAAAAGATCTCTATTTCGTTATTAAAATAGTTTCATACACAAAAATTCATTTTTAATGCAATTGACACTAAGATGTTTGCACATGCATTTCTAATCTCTATATATCTGTTTATTACTAGTCACAGTCGGTTACTTTCTGAGCTCCTTGGCATCTGAGCATGGATATAAAGTCATCAGG